ATAGAAAATAAGAGTGATAAACTTTTTATCCTTCAAAAGATGAATTATTTCTTCTCTCTTTTGTGTTTGGTAGGAGGGATGAAAAGTAAGAATGATTGATTTTTTTTATTTTTTTTAATATTTGATAAGATGAAAAAGTGAAATGATGGAAAAATTATAAATGTATATTTTATCATTATATCTGCATATAAAATTAATGTATACATAATATATAATAAATAAATATGATGTATGCATATATTAAAAGATATATAGGTATTAAACACACATAATTAATTTTCTACTTACTTTTAAGATTAATTTTAATGAGTTGAAAAGAAAATTAATTCATCTAATTTTTTAACCTTCCTATTTTTCTTCTTTATCGAATATGATGTTTTATCTATCTCTCTAACTTTCAATCTTACGATACGTAGCATAAGTATTTAATTTAAAACAGTGTTTACCAGGCACTGGTCAATGTGTTTGATCATATTTTGTTTTTCTCGAGATTGCGTAGATGAGAGAATCATGTTTTCTCTGTTATTTAGTGCGTCAATTTGATGTGGTCGACCTGAAAATCATGTGTTTCGTTCAAGACTGCAACTCAAGTATATCCAAATTTGAAACAAGTAACAGTTTCTTTTATCGAAATTTAATTCGAATATTAAAAATGTACACTCAATTACCTATACGTAGACATGATAATCGTGTCGAGTGAAACAGTTTTGTATCAAGAAACCCTTCATCTATATCCCGTTCGTTTATATAAATAAGTCCAACTATGATACCCATACACTAATCGTTTATTAGACGGATTACCCGATACAATCTGTGTGTCACCCGTTAAATAAAAGAATATGTTAGAGTATTTTGAATTCACACGAAAAATCATCGACTCGCCATACATTACACATATTCGACATATTTACTATAACAATAAATTGTGGCTGAGCAAAAAAATAAAGACAAAAAAATAAACATATAATTTTTTTAAAAAAAATTTATAGTAATACTATTAACAGATTAAACGGATTGAAACGAGTTTATGAGTTAAACACAAAATTAATTCATTTATTTTATGAGTCTGTCAAATTAATCCGTTAACCATTTGAATCCGTTAAAATTATACTCAAACTAGTTAACTCTGCATCAAATTTGTATCAATTTTATGAGTCGTATCTAAAATTATCAGGCCCATTCATACGGACATACATTTGGGTCGGGTTTCGATGGAGCCGATGCACTCCCACTTCCAAGAGTAGTGTGACGACAAATAAGCAGAGTACAATTCGTTTAAGGTGGACTTTCCGAAGATAAACTTCTAGTAAAACCCAACATGCGGCTGCTATTGTGGCCCCACAAACCCATTCCATTCCATTCCGAGGTAGGATACTCACACAAGAAACAAATCAAAACTTTGTTAGGATAGGATCGGAATGTAATCAATCACGGTTAAATTACATTCCAACCCTTTTAAAGGCTGATATTTAATAAGACGGATTCTCCTAAATATAGAATTTTACATTAACATCTCCGGTCAATATTAGTAAGTTAATCAAAAAAATTATTTTAAACAAAAAAAAATTATATTGACGTCTCTTGTCAAAAAAATTATTTTAAACAAAAAAAAATTATATTGACGTCTCTCGTCAATGACGTTTCAGAGGCAGACAACAAATTTTGTACAACAACTAAATACGCTTAATTTAGATAAAATTCGTCTCATTTATACCATCACCTTTCTTAACTAGATTCACAATCCTTCTTAATGATTCTCTCTTAAAAATATTCACCTTTATTTGTAATTACTTTTACATACATATATTAGAACTCCTTAAAGGTGGGATTCCTATTGATATGCTTGATAAAAGAAATAATAGAATCTTTAATAGAAAAATATTGAAAGAAAAAATATATTTTATAGATGAACTTATCCTCATTCAATAATCAAGAATTCTGAATATTCATCTCTACTGTGTGATAAATAAAACATATATATCCTTTTAAATCTCTCAGACATTTCGTAAAAAGGCTCAATGACTAATTTTCGCTTAAACTTGCTAAATATCCAATAAGTCTAATATTAATTCCTTCGTATGTTTCAATTGAGCAAATATATCCAAAATGACTAAGATGGGTATCTCACATTTAAAAACTAGTCATTCGCCCTTATCAATCTTTCAGGTTCCAAATAATTTAATTTTCTCCAATAAATTTATTTATGTCAATGGATTGGTTCAACCAAAAGCTTAAGATAGTGGGTGTAGATTGAAAAAAGATTCATAAAATAGTTGCTAATGGAATTGAAATTATCAAATTCATGCAAATTTTATGGGTAATTGCTCCACATATAATTCCTCGAACTATATTTTCTAAAGGATATATGTTTATACAAACCAATACAACCTCTCCCTCTTCTTCCATTCTCTAAACCCATGCATTTTTAATGGATGTGAATTCTTGCTTCTTCCCATATGACTTGTATTTATTTTTGTCTAGCATTCATGTATATGCATAAATTTACATATATAAATATATTTGCTATTACTCCCTTTAGGAAAAGAGATAGAGGAAACTGCATCCATCACCTGAACGAGTAAGAGAGACATAGTCTAGTCTAATCTTTTAATCTCTAAAACCCACACACACACACACACACACACACACACATATATAAAGGAAAATGAACACACATCAACATGAACCCATAAATATATATTGACTCTGTCTCATATTTTTTGAATTTTTTACAAAATCATGATGACATAATCCAACTTTGAAGGTTTTTCATTTAAGGTGATCCATCTAATGAAGTGTCAAACTTCGGGGTTCTGAATGTCATTTATCCTAAATTCAATTAACTACAAGCAATCATTTCGTCCCCTTCCTTGTCGGACAGATGTAGCCAAAGACGGCTTCTTATATCATCGTTCACTCAATTTGGAGTGGACAAACGAGATTTGAACTCGGAAAGAACACGAATATTTCTGCATATTCTCCGTTGCTAGCAATTTCTAAGCCGTCAACGAATTGTCCGTAAAATTTGCGAGCTTCTTATTGTTAAACTCTGATCATCTTCTCAATTTCATGTAAGATTTCAACATACTAGTTTGGATTCTTGAGCTTGTCCTGCATATTTTGATAGTGAAATCATAAGTACCCAGTTTAGAATTTGATTTTATTTGACATATTTTTTGTGTATTTATTATGTTTTCTGTTTGGATGTCAATTGGGTTGTTCTTAATATTCATAGAGAATATTTAGTTTGTGCTATTCATAGAAATATTCAGGTTGTGATTTAATTTTTTCTTTTAGATGTGGTTCTTAAGCTTGAGAATGAGAACTTTGTTCTTCGACTTGATTGATGACGATGGATATGGGACCCACTTTGTGGATTTACAATTTTGTATGATGAACAGGATGATTGATGATGATGTTTTGAACTGAGATTTTTCATCATCAGTTTTTGAGTTTTCTGTTATTTGTCTATTTGGTTCCGACGTTGTCTTTAATCTAGGATCATTGTGACTACTTATGTTCAACTGGGAGTACTGCCTGCTAGAAGAAGTTTTTAATCTTGGAATTGTAAAAAACTTCGTTTAACTGAACTCGTTTACGGAATTCTGTCTTTTTAACAACTCCATCCTGTTAAAATCTGTAACTTCATTTGGATCAAGTGAATATTGTTTCTGGGTTTACTCAGTTTTTCGGCTCATCTCTGATCCAGGTTCTTCAAATTTTTTCTTTCTTGAATCTAATTTTTTTTCCTTGTGTTTTATTCCTCCATCTACTTGTCTTTTGATTGTTGGTATTTCTTCTCCATGAAACTCTACAAAACCTCTTATTTTTTTTCCTTTTGCTGAATTGAGGTATTCGTCTCACTTATCCTAGACAACCACATCCATTTCACTGGGTTGAGTCTCGACTTTAACGTTGTCATTGGTTTCTTTCTGTGTTTGCTCAAACCATATTCCCTGAATCTCTCTCATTTTAATCTAAATCTATGGGCTTGTTTTGCATTGTTAGCACTTCTATCATTATGATTATATATTTTTTATGTTTGACTCTTTTCATTGTTGTCTCAAACATGCATCAAAATTTGTTAGTTCACTTAAAAAACAGAAATGTTTTAGAATGTTTGAAAAGACAAAGAAAATGGCTTAAAAAATTGAGAATTTATTTCCGAAACACTCCAAAAATATCTGTCAAAATATACAGTACATCTTAAAACACGTTGAAGCATTTCAAAACATTTTTCGATTCAATCGTTTTAATCTCTTTGAAAATGGAAACTTTTCAGCAGTTTCGAAACAAAATTTAGATCATTGTGATTCTTTCTTACAGACATGCAAGATTAGGAAACTTTTTCTTTTTTAAGTTACATTTCTCGTCTTTGGTTTATCATTTTCTCACTATCCACCTATTAAGTGGATACCATTCAGTTATTATTAGATGATGCATTGCCAGTCTTCTTTTTCAAAATATAGCAGCATGATCATAAAACTTGCTTTCAGTCAATCCTAAAAATTCCAGATTATGGCAAAAAGGCTAAGAAGTTGTTACATTGTTTTTTATTTTTGTGTGTGTTTTCCTTTGTTGTTTTTTCTCTTACCATATTGAATTTCAGGCCATTATAGAAGTGTTGAGATGTTGTGGCCTCTCTGTTTTGACTTTATCTGGCTGATCTTCTGAGAGCATTGAGTTCATAAGTTTCATAACGAGTTTAGAATTCAGACGTCCTAGTGCCCTCATTTTGTTAACTGTGAGACTTGATTCAGAGTATATGAATTTAAGTAAAAGGGTTGAATTGTAAACCTTTGAGATGTGTAACACAGTGCCACTTGGTTGAATAGATCTCCTGTGGTTGTGGATAGTGATTAAATATGACCATCTGGTTATTCTCGTCAGTTCCTCTCTCTCTCCCTATCAATTATACAGGCATCTCCAAATTGGGCATAGAAGTTATAATTTGTCACCTAAAACAGGGATGTTATAGGAAATGAGGACTATCGCCATGGATGATGGCTAGGTATCAGTTTTCAGAAGTGTTTACACAAGCTGAAAGGAGGGAATATAATTGCCACAAGAGGTCTAGATTTTCCGTGGTTAGTATTCCTAAAGGTTGGCATTAAGTATGACTTGTGTAATTCTAACTGCTTTCGAGATGTGAAATTGCATCCTTTGTTTGCATGCTCATTTTTGGTATAGTACCACGAACATTCTTGTGACTGACAATTCCATCTCTAAATGTGATGTTTCAACAATTTATGCTTTTTTTCATCTTTTTTCATGAAGGATTGTGCATGTTAAACTCTGGGTGCCTTTGTTCAGCGGCAGCACCACTTGCAATGTATAATAAGGATAGCAGAAGGCACCAACTATAATACTGACTGAAAATAAATATAAAAAACTGGTTGAGATATTTGAAAAGCTTTTATCTTATACTTGCATTGTGTTTTAAATTCATGGTCCTGTATTTTATGTGTTGAAAATGGTGCCCTTGATTTTTGAAATTTTTAATTGGAAACCATATTCAATTAGCTGGTATTTTTTAAAATTTTGGTCAATTGTTAGGCGTGTCTAAAAGTAAAATGAGCATTTTCTTTCATTTTTAGAACCTGTTTTACATTTTCAGTTATATTCAGACACTGGTATGCTATTTACTTTCACAGATTGTACAAGTGGTGAAGATTGAGTTGCATTGTCGTGAAAAGGTAGCACTGATTGGCCTTAGAAAGTAAAACCATTTAGATTGTTGGAATTGCGTTGGCGTCATTAACTAATAGGTTTGTTGCTCATAAAATTTGGCAATCTCTATTTATGGACAAAAATAGAAATGTGCCCTGCTTTATTTATTCACTGATCTGGTGAACAGAAGCTCACTAACATGGGTATCTCTGGAGCTATGTCTTCTTCTGTACCCCTTTTGCCTATTCCTTTGGAGGAAGCATATCCCAAATTGCCTGATTCTCTCCTGGTTACATTAGAAAGGGAGTTGACTACAAATCCAATTTCTTCACGGCCAACTCCGCTGGTTTCTGGCAATAGGATGGTTGGGCATTTATTTTCATCAGCTTCTGGATTTCCCATGGATCATCAGTTTCCTCCAATATCACCTCAAAGAAGGCACTGCCAAAATTCTGCATTCATTCCGAAGTCATCAAGTGATGGAGTGTCTTTGCCACTGACTCAGTCTTGCCGTTCAGGTGTACAATCCGCACCATTGATTAATTACCCCAAAGAAAAGAAGGATGACTGCTGGAGTACAAATTCACTTCAGGATATCATTGAAATTCCTGAAAGTGTCTCCATCCAGAATGGTCAGGTAGGAAGCAGTACTGGTGTAATGACATCTGCAGACCATGGTAAGAGAACTGATTGGCAGGAATGGGCAGATCAGTTATTCAATGTTGATGATGCTCTGGAGCCAAATTGGAGTGACATACTTGTGGATGTTGATGTGCCAGATCCTGAGCCAAAGGTTTGTTATTCGACTAGGAGTATGAATTTTTGTCTATCTCACTTTCCAAATGTCAGGTGTATATGGAGCATATATTGTGCCTGGATGCCTTTTTTATGATTGATGCCTGTGAATTCCGACATACAAATTGTTTTGTAGCTTTTTAATCTTCTAAATTTAAAAGTTTTGCCGAAATAAGTATTCTGCTATATTAATCATATCTCCCAGAATAATTGAAGAGATCTATGTTTTCAATAGACAATTTTGTACACATATTGATGCTAAGATTGGATCTACTTCTGTCTGCATGTGCTTGTGCATGCTTGTGTTCCTGTGTTTTTAGTGGTAGACCACTTGCTGTTTTTTCCTTCTTATCTTACTTCCAGTTTCAAAACTAGAGAGAAAGAGAGAGAGAGAGAAAAGGAGGGGGGAATCTGGTCATGTCTGGAACAATTCACGTCATGTGGTGAGGCCTGCACCTTGCAGCTTTACTGGCCTGAAAACATTTCATCTTAAAAATATGGCACCCATTGCCTGTCAATGATGCTTTTTACTGGCATTCAGGGTGTCAGTTATATGTTTCTGATGTCAATGTGATAGAATGTTGTTACATAGAGAGTTTGTTTCTGTCACTTTTTTCCTGCAAAGTTGCGGCTCATATAAAATTTCGACAATGCTAAACCAGTACACTTACCAAAATTTTTATCAATTCTTTACGCAATGATTGGATTAATAAGAACATCCAATGATTGTGATTGTGTCACATCATTTGTTACGTAAAATTTGGAATAAGAATTTGGTGCATGAAGCATATTTCATTAAATTTTAGTGTGTCCTACACAGAACAGTCACTCATTTTGTAATTACAGTGTACCATGGGAGGAGTATTAAGAAAGTCTCCCTTGCACTTCTAACAAACCAGAAATTTGCACCTCTCTTTTGCCAGACACGCCTGTTATGCATATGTCCCACACAATTGATAGACAAATACAAGTGCTTATATTAGTGTTTTATAGTCTTGGACAGAGTTTGCGAAGTGTACATATTCCGATACCTTTTTTAGGAAATTAGAGAAGTGGCATCACTGCGTTCTTGTGCTTTCTTAGTCCCCCATTTCTGATTTTGTTAAAAGCTGTAAACTGAAGCGTCTTCTGATGTCCATCTGCAACAGCCCCAAGTTCCTAGTCATCAAGCTATGTCATCTAGAGAAGTTGTTACTGGTGCTGATCCATTGTCTGCTGCATCCTTGACCAAGCCTCGCATGCGCTGGACGCCAGAACTTCATGAAGCCTTTGTGGATGCTGTCAATCAGCTTGGTGGTAGTGAACGTGCGTAGCTCTCTCATCTTTCATATATTTTGATTTCAATAGGATGTGATGATGCATGTTGTTTCTTATGGTTTTGGTTCATTATTTTCACTTACAGGAGCTACTCCTAAAGGCGTCTTGAAGCTCATGAATGTTGAACGCCTGACAATCTATCATGTGAAAAGCCACCTGCAGGTATGAATTGATGTTTTGTATTGATGTCATTTCTGTTTACAGATTTGTGATATACAATCTAAATTTATTGAAGTTGGTTTTTTCATTAATTTCAGAAGTATAGAACAGCCAGATATAAACCAGAGGCATCAGAAGGTAGAAGCGGTTGCATCCCTTGGCTTTATTTTCTTCTGTTTCACATGGAAAGAATCTTCAACTTTTGATCTGTTAATTGTTTACACTTTTGTATGATGCCACGACTTACTAATCATTGGAATATATTCAACTATCTGATTGAAACCAAACACTAAATCCTACATATCCTTTACTTGTGCTTGTTACTGGTTCTGGTTCAGGAGATATTTTTTTAATTCAGAAGCTAAATAGATGGAAAAATATGTTGCATCATTTACTCGTCATTATGTGGATAGAAAAGCTTGTATCTAATGTTACTCATTCTTTATTGGGAACATGATGTATGTTTTGAGACAAATGTTAGGAATGTAATTTGTAACTGCTTCATTTTCTTCTCATTGCTGGAACCACAGAGAGAAAGGTGACTCCTATTGAGGATGTGGCATCTTTAGAGGTGAAAACGTGAGTTAGTCTCTCTCTCTCTCTCTCTATATATATATATATATATATGTATATTATAAACGTGTACTATTAGTCAATTCCCTCCTGAGGTCCCCCCTCATTTTCACAGGAATTACTTCCCATCATACACGGTTCATGTTTGAAACATTAATCAGTGCATATCAATATTTGATTCCCAGTAATTATGGTGAATTAATGCATTTAGATTTTTGATCTTTTTCTCCAAGGATTTTAAGTGGAAGTATTATATATATAATTTCTTACAGATCCAATGATTGGTTTTATGCCATTTCTGTCTTGGGTCTGAAATAGGGAGCATAAGGTATTTGTTGCCCTGAGTCATTCATATGATCACTTGGTCGGCCCCTAGCAAGAATAATAATTCGCTATGTGATGTTTACTTCCATAGGTTTGTGTGATAAAGGGTTGCAGGGGTAATTTTTATATAAGGAATGAAGGAACCAAGGTACAAAGGAAAGGAAAAGAGTTATCTTATATGAAAGTACAAAGGAAAAACTAATCAAATCCTGTGGAAGAAAAAATAAAATGACCAATAAGTTGGATATTTATGGAGGTCATGAAACACGCTCCTGCCCAGGATTTTTAGTATAATGGAGCCTAATTAATTATGAAATACAAAAATAACATATACTCATGCCAGACACTCTCATGAGCTGTCTGGCATGGTTACATAAAATTTTGAATGCAATATGGCTGTGTAACTATGGCTGCATTGGTATATTTTACTTGTGCATTTGAAGTAAAATGACATGCATTTACTAGTTTCTTCCTTGAAACACCCAGTTGTTTCCATTACCTACACTTCCACACACTGGGGGGAAGAAGGAGAAATCAGAAGCTAACTTTGAAACTGCAGTCTTCCTCTGGAGGACCACTTTGTAACAGCTTTTCATGAGAGCATTTTGAATAAACATATAATGTTCAAGCTGTATATCTCCATTTACCAGATATGCAAACCACAGGATAAATAGGAGAGATACGAGTTTGATTGCTCTCAATACATTTTTTACCATCATTTTACTTAAATTTATTTTAAAATTCTGTATATCTGTATGGCTGTGTCAATTCTGTATGTCTAGACATGTATATATGTGAAAGTGATGTTTTTTCTTCTTAGGTTTTATTTTATATAATGATGGTATTCATGAAATATTTGGCTAAGTCATCCTCTACAACCCCCCCGGGGCTATTGTGACTAATCACATTGATACACACTGGGATGAAAATAGACTTAGCAACACAGATAAAGGAAAAAAAAATGGGTGGGAGAAACTTTTATTTACTGTCTGAATAGTTCGAGACTTTCCAAGCATTCGAGAGGCTTGGGAACTCTCCAAAATGAGCAAGCTCACTACAAAACAAATATTTTCATACCCTTCCACTAACCAACCCTTCCCCCTATATTCTCCTCTACCCCTAAGCCAAAACAGAACACCAGAAAATACTAACAGAATGCCAAAACTTACTCCCTAATAGAAATGCATAACAGAATTGCATATTAGCTCCCCTTCTCTCTAACCACTTCTTACACTTCAGCTATGATCTAGATTTCCAGAATGACCTTTGTGCCTAGAATAGGTGAAGCACACTTGTGGCCTAACATTACCCCCGCCCAAACATTCACCTTGTCCTCAAGATGAAAATCAGGAAATTGTTGTTGAATCAAGTGAAAATCCCCCCAAGTCGCCTCATACTCAGACCGGGACTTCCATTTCAGCAACACTTCAACTTCACCCGATTGACCTTGAGCTTTAGGACGTACTCCCAGCACTTTTTTCGGTTCCACCACTAGTTCAAGCTCAAGAGTTAACTGGGGTGGTAATACTGGAGAAGAAGAGGAAATCCCACGTGCTGGCCTCAACTGAGAAACATGGAAAATAGGGTGAATTGCTGCTGTCTGAGAAAGTTCCAGCTTGTAGGCCACCTTCCCAATCTGCTAAAGAACCTTGAATGGGCCGTAGTAACGAGCAGCTAGTTTTTCAAATTTACGTTGAGCAAGGGAGCGCTGCCGGTATGGTCTCAATTTCAAGAATACCAAGTCACCTTCATTGAACTCTTCATGGTGGCGCTTGAGGCCAGCTTGCAGCTGCATCCGCTGCTGGGCTTGCAGCAAATTCATTCTTAGGTCATCCAAAATAGTATCACGATCCTCCGACAACTGATCTACCAAAGACACCGAAGCAGCTCCTCGCTCAAATCGAATAAGAGGAGGTGGATCCCAACCATAGAGAGCACGAAAAGGGGTACAACGAGTGGAGGAATGAAAAGAAGTGTTGTATCAATATTCTGCCCAGGCCAACCAGCGAGCCCAACTTCTAGGCTTTCCAGAAGCAAAACAACGCAGATAAGTTTCTAAGCACCGATTGACAATCTCTGTCTGCCCATCAGATTGAGGATGATAGGCAGTGCTCCGTTTTAGAGTAGTTCCCTGTAGCTTAAACAACTCACTCCAAAAACGACTTAAGAACACTCTATCCCGATCCGAAATAATTGATTTGGGAATACCATGAAGCCTCAAAATCTCGCGAATAAAAATGCCAACAACCGAAACAGTAGTAAAAGGATGCTTCAAACCAATAAAATGAGCATACTTACTTAATTGGTCCACCAATACCAAGATGCATCCCAGCCCACGGAACGGGGCAGCCCCTCAATAAAATCAAGAGTGACTTCATCCCAAACTTGCGCCGGAAGTGGAATGGGTTGCAGTAACCCAGCTGGAGTAGTGGCTAGGTACTTATTCTGTTGGCAGACTGTGCACTCTCGTACAAATCTGGCTGCATCCTTGCACATGCCTACCCAATATAACTCAGCTGCCAGATGTTGGTAAGTCTTTGTTTCTCCCGAATGTCCCCCAACCGGAGTGGCATGAAACTCTCCAATTAGAGTAGAAAGAAGCTTAGAGAACCGTGGAATAATGAGACGATTCTTATAGAGTAATATCCCTTGTTCCACTGTAAACCCAACATGAGATTGTGTACTTGAAATAATGTCGTCCCTTAGTTTCTTTAGAAAAGTATCATTCGCCAATTCCACCTTTAAAGAGTCCTAATGCTGCCACTGTGGTATAGCCAAGGTTGAGCACTCCACTACATCTGTTAAACGAGAAAGTGCATCTGCTACTCGATTATTTGCCCCACTACAGTATTGAATATCGAAATCATACCCCATGATTTTAGTAATCCATTTTTGATATTCAACTCCAACAATCTGCTGTTCCAAAAGAAACTTCAAACTCTGCTGATCGGTCCGCATAATGAAACGCATTCCAAGTAAGGTCGCCATTTCAACACTGCAAACACGATTGCCATTAATTCCTTCTCATATGTGGACTTCAGGCGAGCTCGGGGACCCAGTACTTGGCTATAATAAGCCACTGGTTGTTGCTCCTGGATAAGAACAGCTCCTAACCCAAACCCAGAAGCATCCGTCTCGATAATGAAGGGCTTAGTGAAATCGGGCATTGCCAAAATAGGGGTTGAGGATATAACATGCTTAAGTTCTTCAAAAGCTGATGCAGCTTTCGGATTCCACCCAAACTTATCTTTTTTTAGCTGATCAGTCAATGGTGACGCAATTCGAGCATACCCAGCCACAAACTTTCGATAATATCCTGTCAAACCCAAACATCCCCTTAATGCTTTCAAATTAGTGGGCGTTGGCCAAGAAATCATGGCTTGGATTTTGCTTGGATCTGCTGCTACTCCCTGCCCGAAAATGATATGACCTAGATAGGCCACTTGAGTCCTACCAAACTCACATTTCTTTCGATTGGCATAGAGACTATTGGCCTGCAAGATTTTCAAGACCTGTGCTAGATGTTGCTGATGGGTCTCCTCTGAGGGGCTATAGATCAAAATATCGTCAAAGAACACTAATACAAACTTCCGAAGAAAAGGCCAAAAGACATCATTCATCAAGCATTGGAAAGTAGCGGGGGGATTCGTAAGTCCAAAGGGCATGACAAGGAACTCGTAGTGCCCATCGTGAGTTCGAAAGGCAGTTTTATGGACATCCTGACTGTTGACCCTGATTTGTGAATAACCAGACTTCAAGTCTAACTTAGAAAAGTTTTTCGCACCATGTAGCTCATCAATGACAGGAATGAGATACTTATTTGGTACGGTAACCTTGTTTAGAGCCCGATAATCCACGCAAAAATGCCAGGAACCATCCTTCTTCTTAACCAGCAAAATCGACTCGAGAAGGGACTACTGCTGACTTGAATTATTCCAGCAGTAAGCATTTCCTTGATCAATTTCTCAATCTCATCCTTTTGATCGTGAGGATAGCGATATGGTCGGACACTAACCGGTTGGCTGCCTTCTTTGAGCACAATAGAGTGTTCATGTCCCCTAATAGGTGGTAATCCCAAAGGCATGTCAAAGACAATTTCATGATCTGCCAAAACTTGATGAATAAATTGCGGCACCTCAAGACTCATTTCCCTCAAACCCTCCAGTTGATTAAACTTCACCAAAATTCTAGCTCCCTCGCGTTTAATGGTTCGCATCATAGCTTTTAGAGAAACTAGAGTCTTCCCAAGGGAGGGATCCCCCCGCAGAGTGAAGGACTCATTACTGAGCCTAAATTTCATCACTTGCGTCTTCCAGTTTGTATGAGTCATCCCCAGAGTCTCGAGCCACTGAATTCCCAGAATTACAGCAAAACTCCCCAACCCAAGAGGCAAGAATTCTTCCACAATATCAACCCCCTGCATATGAAGTGTTATTCCACGGTATAAGCCTTCTCCACGTACAACATTACTAGTTCCCATAGCCACTCCATAAACCTCAGTTTTAACAATAGGTATTTGAATTCTATTAACCAAATCTAAGGAAATGAAATTGTGGGTGGCACCTAGGTCAATCAATACCACAACCTCCTGCTCACCGATCATCCCCTTCAATTTCATCGTTTTTGGATTAGTCAAACCCACCACCGAATTGAGCAAGACTTCCGCCATTTGATTAAGCTGAGATGCCTCCGGTTCGGGCTCTGCCTCTCCTGGCTCTTCGCCCTCACCCTGCTCTTCTTTTTCCACATCATGGGTAAGAAGGACATTCAATTCCTTCTTCTTGCAGAATTGCCCGGCGCCCATTTTTCATTGCACTGATAGCATAACCCTTTTTCTCGTTTCCTCTGAAGTTCCGAATCGGAAAGCCTCCACACCTCTCCGAAAAATTTTCCTAAGCAATTTCCCCCAAATGTTGATCGAGAAGCTTCAGAGTGGAAGCTTGTGTCCCGTGTTGCCCCCCCTGCTCGATGAAACCCACTGGCTGGTGGATTATGGGCTTTGGTCACCAACAATTTTTCTTCTATCTTTTGGGCCAAGTCCATGGCCCAGCCCAAGTTGATGGGTTCCATGATTCGGACCTCAACTTTGATCTCTGGCTTCAACCCATTGATGAAGTTACCCAGAGCTACTTCATCGGAGACATTCATTCTCTAGTGGCGCCGATAACTCGATGAACTTCCGGCGATACTCCTGCACGTTGCTGATTTGAATAAGAGCTAACCACTGTTCATGGACTGAGCCAGCTTGGGTCGTTCGGGATTGCTTCAAGAGAAGCATCTTCATCTTTTCCCAAAGGACAATGAATCGCTTTCTATTTTCCCATTGATACCACAGTATGACATCTCTTTCAAACGCCATAATCGCCACCTCAAGCTTCTCTTCATTAGTCAACCGATTGAGGGCGAAATATCGTTCTGCCTTAAAAATCCATCCATCCGGGGTTCGAGCCATCGAACAGTGGCATCTCCAGTCTCCGGGATCGGAATTCATGGCAAAATCTGTTTGAATTTGAGCCGTCGTCTAAACCATGAGATTCCCCCTCGTACGAAAACGATCCGCCTCGAGCCGTATCTTCTTGCAATTTGAGGAACTGTTCGAATCGTTTGTTCATATTTTGTATTTCCTCTTTCAACGTTCCCACTTCTCGTTGGAACTCTTCTTGCACGGCACCAACCACTTCCTCCATGGAATTCATCCGCTGAGCAACATTTTTGGATGCCATCTCCCAGGTACGTTTGCTCTGATACCAATTTGATACACACTGGGATGAAAACAGACTTAGCAACACAAATAAAGGCAAAAAAAAATGGGTGAGAGAAACTTTTATTCACTGTCTGAATAGTTCGATACTTTCCAAGCATTCGAGAGGCTTGGGAACTCTCCAAAATGAGCAAGCTCACTACAAAACAAATATTTTCATACCCTTCCACTAACCAACCCTTCCCCCTATATTCTCCTCACCCCCTAAGCCAAAACAGAACACCAACAAATACTAACAGAATGCCAAAACTTATTCCCTAACAAAAATGCATAACAAAATTGCATATTAGCTCCCCTTCTCTCTAACCACTTCTTACACGTCAGCTATGATTTAGATTTCCAGAATGACCCTTGCGCCTAGAATAGGTGAAACGCACTTGTGGCCTAACACACATCCCCTTAGAGACATGCACATGCATACATCTCTTGTCGACATTCTCTCATTTTCCTCAGTTACGGACTACTGATCATCTAAATTGAGTGCCAAGTAATTTCCTATTATTTAGTGTTGGATTCCAAATTTACCGTCAAGTTCATTCCTGTCTCAATCTTTCATGACTATTTAGTAACAAAGTCATTGATGACATTAAGTTATAGATTCTCATATTAGTCACATTTTTTTGCTCTTTTGCCTCATTGAATTTGGGTTCAATGTTGCATTTTTTTTTGTTTTGCAAGATGGAATTCTTGTTCTTTTGGATAGGGTTTCCTATCTGTTATCTCATGCAGGAATAACCTAATGTTTCATGCCTCTGATTTTTTATGACAGGAGTATGGGAATCACTGAAGCATTAAGATTGCAGGTGGAGGTTCAGAAGCAGCTCCACGAACAACTTGAGGTATGCAAATGATACTGAGGGCCCTATCTTCTCCACTCAAAATATATTGGTTTCTTCAGCAGTTATCTGTTGTTCTGTCTAACAGCATCATGCAGTGGTAAAAAGATCGTAGTGATGAATATGATCCAACTTTGACTTAAACCTCACATTTTCAGACATCGTTACATTTTTTGCCTTATGCACATGGTATCTCTATGTTTAAAGTGGAAATAATGTACTGCTAATATACAAAAATTGTTCTGCCTTTCCATGATACTTCAGTACAAAGTTTACAAGTGTTTTTTGGTAAGTAGCTGAGGCCTTATGGCATTGGAAAAAAGATTGCATCTATATATTCTACTACTGTATGGTTTTCATTGCTTAATAAACGCTTCCACTTCCTAAAAAGGGGGAGAACATAAATAAAACTAAATGTTGAAGGAAGTTCATTGTGCAATCCATGTCTGATTGGTATATGTGGCAGTTGAGGATGGCTGAGTCCATCATCATTGAGATGTTTTGATCAGCACCTCACTTTACCAATTCTAGGCACGTGCATCTGGAGATACTATTACTTTGAGAGTGCAATGCTTTCAGATCCCAAAGGTTTTTGTTGTTGGGTTCCTACTAAACACTGCATCATCTTCTGTATTAATTTTTTCTTTGTGTAGGTTAAGATATTATCCTTAGTCTCTCAAAAGTCGAAACAATAGTGAGCTACTGGAACTTAGGTGGATCTATAGGTTTCAGTTTCACTTAGATATTAGTCTCTCTTTACTTCTTTTGTTTTCTTCAAGAAGTTCATTTTTTGGTTTTTTCTTTTTCTGAGGGTGGGGGGATGGGGGTGGGGATAATGTGCCATTAACACTCAATCAAAAAATGAAATTTCAAAAGAATGATACTAAGGCTTGGTGTGGTGAAGTAAATACGAACCATTTTTACATTAAAGAAAACCTCAATCTGAGCTGGCATGCTTAGTGATTACATAATGGACATGGACATGGACATGGGACATGGCCATGGCAACAGGACAAGTTTTAAAAGAGTAGTACATGAACAGATAAAGACATGCTACATATAATTGTCTTGTATATCAACATAATAATCGTATGTTATACATCAAAGTTATTATTGTATCTTATATGTTTTAACATATATAGTCATGTATTTATGCAATATAATTATATCATTAGTTTACAGAAAGCAAATGTTTTATGTAGTACTGTAAAACTGTTTAGACTAATATATCATAGCAGTCAACGATCATCCTCCTAATCCTTCGTCTTTCATATGATTGTAATATGAATAATCTGGACAATCTACAGTTGTCCATATTATGACATGTTAGCAAGTGCCCAAGAAGTGTCGGCCACGTGTTTATTTTCTAATTACAGACACATTACAGGTTTGCTGGATACGTGGCCAAAGGAGTGTTATCATGTTGGACATGAGTCCGAAGTTAAGGTTTTTTTCTTAGTTATGGGCATGGCCAACAAAGTATCTCACGACTGTTCTCAAGTGTCCGATCCCACATGGACAAATCACTTTCTTAGAAGTGATTATGCTTCTTAGCTACATAAACGTGCATGTGTGTGGACGAGGAAATATTTACTTCTGGTGTAAGAGTTGATATCCTTAGATGTGCCAATAAGTCTTTTTTACCTTTTTTTTTTTATTTTAAAGTGTTGTCTTCAGGTTTCATTGGACAGCGTTGTATAGTGCTCTTCTATCACATTTATTCATGATTTTATCCTTAATTTCACTTCTATATCCAGTCCTCTCCATTTTAGGTGTTCTGGAGCAAATGGTAAAACGTCACTATCTGATTACAAAGAGTGAAGGGAAGATGAATTGTGAAAATGACATAATGATTCCTTGTCAGTAGGCAAGTTTGTTTTAGGGCCACCTCGTATTGCAGGTACCATTAGGTCATGTTTGTAATCAGGCTTAATTATATATTAAAATTTAAAGGGGGAGAGATATCAAGTATTCTCTCTTCGATTCTCAGGTCTCTAATCATCTCATGCTTCTTCCTCATTCCTTATTTAGCCACTACAGAGAACACATCAGATGTCTATATCATAGGTAATTGAGTCCATGGTACACCTTCTCTGCATACTTCTATAAAATCTGGGTGATCATAGAAATGAAATGCCACCAGGCTTTTTTCTTATATATGAAAAAGGCAGTTCAATACACAAGACTGCCGCCACTGCGAAATGGGTAAGGTCAGATGTTTGTAATGTTTCAGGCATGCAGTGTTCTTATAGCACCCCGATATTATAATACTTGTATGTGGGGGAGCGGGTTGAAGCAAATAAATAATTATGTTACACTCTCTATAATGCCTTAAACTTTTAAAACAATTGGTGGTTTAACAAGCAGAACCCTTTCCCACAAGCTATTGCACCAAATTTAGTGTTGGGTTTTGGAGGCTGATTAAAGCTTATTTTGGGGCTCAAAAGTTAGAAGAATTTGGGTTCAGAGTGTCTAAAAGGTAGAATAAGGGGTGATAGTTTGACGCTTAATCATGACAAGTCCGGGAGAACACTCTTGTACAAGCCATGTCACCAAATTTGAAGTTGGTCAGCAGAAAAGAAGGGATTTTCAGGGTCTAGTTAGAGTTTTTTTTTAGCTAAAAGTTGATGAAGTATTACAGTTTCAAGTTTCTAAAATGTATACCAAAGGGGAAACAACATGATGCTCAAAGGCCTTTCTGAGGTCATGGGGCAGTGAGTGGTTCCTGTGAACCATTCCAGATGGTTATCTGGGGTCTTGGGCTGTGGCATACTGTGGTGTTATTCTTGTACCACATATCAAAATGATCTGTTCCAAAATTAACACATGTTTAGCTTTAGAACCTTGAGCTATCTTACAAGTTCAGCAGTCAAGTGTGATTACTTCCCCTTGCCAATCTTTGCCTTGGGGATAAAACAAAAATTAGCAGTTGTTCAAGAGTATATGTGCTTAATATTTTTTACACCCTTATTATGGCATATATGTGTATGTGTGGATATGTATATGTAAGAAGGATTTGGAATACGGTTGTCATACGATTGAATATTAGTACTGGTAATACTCAAGGTTGCACTTTTGTTGTGCAAGTGAATTGGACAGAAGTGTCATGAATAGGGACTCCTCTGTGTGTGTGTGTGTGTGTGAGAGAGAGAGAGAGAGAGAGAGAGAGAGAGAGCAGTAGTGTCCGCAGATTGTACTGATCTAGAAGTCATCTCTTTCCTTCAGATACAGAGAAATTTGCAGTTGCGGATTGAAGAGCAAGGGAGATACCTTCAGAGGATGCTTGAGCAACAGACAACTTCGCTGTCAAAAGTGATACAGCCTTCTCGTGCGGATGATAAATTGGAATCCTTGGAACAGGATCTTGGCAATGGAGGAGTTGCTGCAAGTAATGCCAGCATGTCAGTTGAGAAAACTTGCCAAAAAACATGTGAGGAGCAAAAGGCATCAGAGAATAAGATTTGTGACAATGTTGACCCTGATGCTAGTGGATCAAGTCCCCCTCCCACAAAGCGTGCAAGGACTAATGAAGCTGCACCATCATCGCCCAAACTGGCATCTTGATTAAAAATCTGGTATTGTGATATCTTCCTGCTTCTGTGCATCACCTGGTAAGTGTGAAGTGTGGATAGAGACTATGTCATTTGTTTGATCCAAACAGCACCTAGATAAGAGGATTGTGGAATATTAGTGATATTCCCACAAAGTTATAACGTTGTACTTTTCTTGATTTGCTGTTGGATTGGGATGGGGAGTGCATGTTCATTTAGAACTGGCAGTAAAAAAACAAATTAGCTGTGTATGGGCTCATGGGTAGTTTTCTATGAAATTCCAATGTTTCATGTGATGCCATTTTTATGTATAGATTCATGTGTTGTAGGATTTCAGTGTCATGCGGGGGCCGTTTAAAATTTGTGCTATTGGTCGGAGTTGTGGTATTCTTGTTTTGAGGGTACGGGTTATGAGGTTGAGAGCAATGCTTCAAATTTCGGTTACTAGGTAAACGAATTGTATTCGTGGGACTTTTGTGTAATATGTTTGTGCTTATGTTAAGAGTTACATGAGTTAGGTTTCAGAGGATGATATACAAAATACAAGTATTCTCTTTGACAAGAGAAAAATAAACGTAAACAACAACAGATCCCACGTCTGCACTCTTTCTTCGTAGAATAAGTGACTGATTGGAATCTGCCTTGAACAAAGCATAGAAGGGTGGATTCAGACTTGCCTAAGCTTTTATTACGGCGAAGGGAAAGGAAAAAAAATCTATTACTTCATACTTTGTTTTCTTAGTTAATGAGCATCCAAGGGTTGTGGCTTATGTGTTTTCACTTGTTCTTTTTTACATTATTGCTCACATGAGTTCCGGTTCCACCCCTAGCCATGTGAGGGGTCGTCTAGGGCCCCACTTGCCTAGGGTCATGTTCTAGTATATTTCACAAAATTATGTGAATAAATATTAAAAAAAAATTTAGGATGTTTCGTAAAATGATCAAAATGATTTTAAAAATAATCTTTAAAAAAAAGATGGTACAATTTTTAGCGAGTAATTTTTTAATATTTAATGACAAAAATTGAGAACCGCACACTTTTTTTGGTACCGTACCGAATTTTGACTGGGCGGTACCGCAGACCTCCCCCTAAACAAGTGTCGATATCGTGGTAGAACAACCATCGAATACTAAACTGCCCTCTGATGTCTGCAATTCTCAATCACTAAATGTCAGCAGTGGAAAAAGTGAAGAAAATGTCTTTTGTTTGCTGCCTCAAAACTGGTTCATCAATCTTATCAAGAGTAGCTTAATGTTTCAACCCATTCATATTGCTTCACAGATGCTACTGTCTGATCTTTTCTTCATCTTTTCCGCGTAAATTCCAGAACTACTGTTATTTGTCATGGGTTCAAAATTAAAATTAAAATTAAACAAAGGGTTCTCAAAAACCCAGACTATACTACACGCAATTCGACATCCAGTCTATTTACAGCATTTGAGGCTTAAAGAATGCAACATTATACAGAGAAAGCTGTGCAAATAATCCTTCATATATATCACTATTACAAGATAGCAATCACATCTATTATTACTTTTTTGAGGGAATTATTCCTTTTTCTTTTTTCAACAATGTTGCTTCAAAAATGTGTTACCAAAATGGTATATTTAGTTGTGGAAAATAAAAAATATGTAAAAGTGCGGGGTGGATTTGAATCCTCCCATTTATATAATAAAGTACAAACCATTTATATAATAAAGTACAAAACAACTCAAATTCCAAAAAATAAACAAAATGACTTTTGTTTTTCGTAGTTGAGATTGTTTTAAATTTTACTTTAAAGTTAATCCGACGACTAATATTAACTGCTCAAATTTAATAGAAAAAATAGCCACCCTAAAGTCTGTTTGGGGTGACGTCTTCTAATTTGTAACTTCTCATAATCACTTTTTAAAAATATAATGATTGAAATAATTTATTTTAATTATTTTCAAATAAGTCAAAAGTAAAAGTCAAAAAAAGAAGAAGTCAAAAGTAGTTTTACCACTTAAATAAGTAAGTAAAAGTTAAAAAAAAAATACTTTTATTTTTTTAAAATCACTTCTATACAAAATACTTCATCACCACCACTACCCTTGCCACCCTACCACCACCGCCACTACCCCCATCACCCCACCACCATTATACCACTATCCCCACCGCCCCACCACCATTACCACCACCATCACCGTTCCACCACCGTTGCCATCCCACAACTACCTCTACAACCATCACCATCACTATTACCACCACCGTCGTCACTCATTGCCATTATCCATTTCCATCACCATCATCATCTCATTCTTATATTTATTACCACTGCCACTATCATCCCACCACATCCGTCGTCCACCGTCACCACCCACCACCATCTATTATCACAATCCACCATCACCCATCGTCGCCCATTATTGTTGTCACCCTTCGTCACTCACCCCCCATCATACCTACTAAAACCAACCACCACCACCCATCATCGTCCACCATTGCCGCCACCCACCCCTACCACCACCACTGTCATTCACCACCACCTATTGATGCATAGTTAAAATTAACATTTTACTATGCTTTTATAAGAGTAATTGTGCTTTGATGGAGTTCAAATGATAACATTTTAGGAAAAAGTTGTACAAGTGCCTAAAGTCAACAACATCAAACTTCCAAGTAACACACACGTGGTCTAGAAGAGAATGGACACAAGAGGGAACAAAGCACCAACGTTCGAACGCCATCTCACGTTCGAACGTCATCTTAAAATAATTGAGGACCCCAGGAGATTACTAGGGTGATTACATGTGCCTATTGCAACTATTTACTATGGAGGAAAAAAGTTACATGAGTACCACGTTCGAGCGCCAACAACGTTCGAACGCTGATCAAAGAAGAAATGCTTCCACGTTCGAACGCCAACAACATTCGAACGCAAATCCCAAACAGGTTATAGGAAGATTAGATCTCCACCTGGATTTTGGGCCATTCACTTGGACTTTAAGCACCTACAACTATTCTTTTACCCCCTCCTCCTTGCCTATAAATACCTTCCCTTGGAACTTGTTAAAGATCATCTTTGGAAGAGGAAGAAATCCTCAAAAAGTAACTAGCTTTCTTCTACTTTTATTATTAGTTTCATTAGCTTTCATTGTAAAAGCTTATTTCTTCACTTAGAGGAGTGAAACTCTCTCACCTTTCTAGTTCTCTTGTAGTCTTGAAGGGTGGGAAGTGATTCACTTATTTTTTGTCGAAGATAGACTTATTGTGTAGTGTATTTTCTTTTGTAATTCCTCTACTTGGAGGGATAATGATCACTCTCTTTTTTTGCTTTTCCAAAGCCATGAAGAGTGAGTAGTTTCTCATTCACTCTTTAGTAAGAGGTCATAGACATGCATAAATCATTCAAAAGTTAAATTTGTGCATTTCATTTATGCTTAATGCCTTATCTTTTGATTGCATATTGAATGATTGAATGCATCTAACAAAGGTAAGGTACTTTGTACATTCATGAGTCATTTCTAAGACAAGTTATATTTTGGCATATGTGGATTCATTGGTTCTTTGCAAGTACTCAAGCTAGATTTTCATGAAAGCATTTCAATCATCATTATTATTGTGCTTTAACTAAGAATGGAATAATATCGCAGCAGTTGGATGATTTGTAGAATTACTTGCTTGTTTGTAGACAGGTTAAGTCCCAGCACTGTCAATTCTTGTAAATCTTTACAAACACATCGGAACCATGCTTACAATCCATCTTTATCCTCCAATTAACTCGCTATTGACATATGAGTTAATTGAGTTGTCAAGTACAAGTATAACAACCGAAAGATTGACTACATGTCCAGATTTTTGAGCTAAATGATGACTTTTTCATTCAAGAGAATATTATATTTTGTCTAAAAATTCTACAATCATCATCATAACTTCAAATCTCAAAGATTTCAGTCACTTTGATCTTTATCACTTATAATTGTATATCATCGACATTAGTTCCCTGTGGATTCAATTTCGAACTCAACCGGATTATAACTACAACTTGATCATTTGTAATTGGGTGTACGCATTTCAGATCGAGTCACGCATCACCACCGTCGCCCACAAACACTCATTGTCACCCACCACCATTCACACCTACCTACCACCACCCACCACCATCATCACTGCCTGCCACCACTACCACCACCATCATTGTCGACCCACCGCCATCAATGCCAACTACCATCACCTTCTCCCACCACCACCATTACCATCGTTCACCCTCATTATAAATAGTGTTTAAATTCTTTTCTCTCTTCTCTATGTTTGTGTTTTAATTTTGACTGTGAATACAAATATGTTTATAATTGACATTTTTTTTATGAAGGCTCGGGCAATAACTAGTTATTCAATATGTTATACATTTGATATTATGGGGCCATAGGAATTTAATATTAGGATAAAATGAATTTAATGATGGACCATTAAACTTTATCGACATTTATAAAAATTTGTAACTGACTGGATCCGGATGCATAAGAGTCTAGTGTAATTAGCTACATGTTTCGACTTCCAATTTTATGTCATTATATCTACTTCATATCTCGAAGCCACAATATAATTTGTCATGTCTAGTAAATTAATTGTTCTACGATGAAGATTGTAGTACCCGATAAATTCAAGACATGTATCTACCATATAATAGGACAAGTGAAAATAATTATCAGTTGACATGGAAGTGGGTCCGATAGGGTCCAATGAGACTGATATGAATAATAGTATCAGGGTGCGACACCCCCCAAGTTCGAAACTCCATGTGCAACCCTCCCAGGCATGACAACCAAGGTGTGACGCTCCCAGGCACAACAACCAAGGTGCGATGCCCCCAGGCGCGACACCCATGTGCGATGTAGTGTGACACCCCATGTGCAATTCCCCTAGGCACAACATCAAAGGTGTGATACCTCCGGGCATGGAAACTAAGGTGCGACGCCCCTCAGGCATGATGCTTTTAGGTGCGATACCCTCAAGCGTGACACCCATGTGCAATGCCCCCGGGAGCA